CTCTATTTAAACAACATACAAGATGTCAAATGTCAAACTATTTCTACCAGTCTACAACAGGGGAAGAATTCCACTTACTGTGGCCCGGAACTGTAAGCTGAGCTGCAGTGCAAGTCCATAGGGGCGGGTTAGGCAGCAGTCTACCCCCTGTTTTATTTATAATTCATAATTATATAAAACTAAAAACTCATCCTTCATAAAAATTATAGGACTATCCTTTCATACTGACATGTTAAAATTATTAAGCTATCGAGGGGATGAGAAATCATGCAAATGTTTATGTACATGAATGCCAACTGAGAAATGCAAATGACAGAAATGGAGACCTGATACTTGAGACTAAATCTTTGCGATCGGAAACACTATAAAGGTGTTTATTTGCTTGAGGAGCCAGCTGTTCTGGCAGCGATCTGTTGCAAAGTAGCTTAAATAAATTTAAAATTTTTTTTATTTTATGTGTATTTACGCCAGTGGCATTTTTTAAGTTTTGAAAGGAAACCCTGGTCTTGTTACAATCAAACGTCGACCTTATTGTTAGATAGCATCATTAATTCATAGCCCAATGACAAATGGCATCTGGGTCTGGAAACGATCTCGCTTGGATTCAAACCAGCGACCTTCAGATTTGAAAGATAGCACTATAACCGGCTACCCAGCCAATACATCAGTGGATTGTACCTCTAGATGGACTGAGGTCATTAGAATGACAAGCGGGATGTGCAAGCGCACAAGAATCCTTTCCCTATCGCAGTTGCTTTTGTTATTTAGTACAGTCATCACTACAATCAAGTGCTGTTGGATTAATTTAATAGCACTAGCTCCTAGTGATGTAACTCTCGATTTTGTTGTGAACCTTCCCTCATCAACGGTAAAGGTAAAATTTTAGACATCAAGTAATAAAAACTTAACAGATATTCATAGGGACAAAGTAAAATCTTTGGGGCTCATAGTTGATAGAAGTCAGTATTAGAAGCCACATATAAAATATTGAATAAAAAGTTGCGGTCATCAAGCTATCAAATTCACATATTGAGAGAATTGGTAGATGTTAAGTTAAGGATTACAGTATTATGCTTGTTTTTTTTTATCACTAGCACAGTACGGAATTCAAAATTGGGGGTAATCTCCAAATGTTACTGCTATACTTAAATGTTGTTTTAAGTAGACAATTATCATTATTGAATATTTTTATAGAACTGGAGATATTAACCATCCATCTCTGTACTGTACATTTATACTTTTTTTATGTTTACACATGATCTTAGAAATAAACAGGACATAGTCCATCGTTACAACACCCAATTTAAAGATAAATTCCACCATCCAATCAATTCTTTGGCATTATTTGAAAGTTCCCCAAATTATATGGTGATGAAGTTTGACAACAAAATGTGTCTGTTTGTTTTAAACAGTTAACAATGCATAGTTAAAAAAAAATCAAACTTTTTCTTATTAAAAAAGCTTATTACAGTGTTCTTGAATTCCTACAAGAAAATCTGTAAATTACTAACTGTAAAAGATATAAAAAAAATTAAAATTTACCACTGAAAAAAAATTCTAATTCTCAAAATGACTTTTTTGTTGTTAACCAATTACAAAAGAATTTTCTCTATTTCTCTGTGAATAAATCTTTATTAGGTTACCGGTATATCCTTTCATGTCTTTTATCATATATTTATTTCAGCACGATATGTACATTTTTAACCAAAATTTTAGCACAAAAAGACAAGTCTGTGACCTCTCCTCTACGCAAAATAAGTTTTTTGTAAAAAGAAGCAAAACAGGTGATTTGTGCAATCCTTATTAAACTCACTAATGCCGTCAACTTCCACCCAAGCCAGACCCTGTTTGTCTAAGGTGGGCCTTCCACTCCAGCTAAGCCACACATTAGGAAGCTCAATATGGATGTAGAAAGACCTCAACCCTATAGTGGTCAATGCAACCCCTAAGCCAACCGAGCTACCAAGCCACCGTCACCCAAACAGGTCGATTGCCAGTAAAAGCAGAGAAGCACCTGACGGCACTAGTAAGTTAGATTCGACATACTACTTGAGGGCCAATAGGTGTTAGTCAAAAGGGTTAGTTGAGTTTCATTAACCACTTATTATGTAAATATATTAATACTATAGCTACTTAAAAGAACTTTGTTTAGGATGTTTCATTGTATGTAATTTTTCAACATCATAATTTTGTAAATCCATTCAGAAAGCTAGATGAGAATATGTATTGTGTAGAGGTTATGTTTTATAAATCCCTTCAAATATAAAAGTTCTATAAATCAATTGCTTTTATTTTGACTATTTATTATATTGATACGACTTTTCATCCATTTCATTTCACTAACACCTTTGTTAATTGCTTCAATAAATTTGAATTCACAATTTTTAATGATTTTTATATAGGTAAAAAGTAAGACTGCTATTAAAATGTTTACTAAAGTTAAGGTAGTTGTTACAAGATTACTGTAAAACCAATATTCTCAGCAGAATAGCTTAATGTAACACTGAAAGATGCAAGTTTTCATGAGGTGGATTCAAATTGTACTTTTAAAGAAATAAAACCTCTAAAAGGTAGAAAATAATGTTACAAAAATCAGATCCATGGGAAACCCATTGTTAAAATCAACAAGGGAAATCATTTTAAGTTTATTGTGTTTGCTATAAACAGCAGAGTCAATGTGAACAAGCGTTAAATAAAAACTCAATAATGGTTTTTTGTCAGACTCAAAATGCTTGGGCCTTGTGAAGTAATTCTTTTAGTGCAGAAATTTCGGCCGACAATTTTATGAAAAATGCCAGCAGTAAGTTTTTATTTATTTTATTTATTTATTTAAGTCATCCATCTTCATAATCTGCTTAAATACTAATTGGTGCTGTCAGATAATTAAATAATAAATAAAAACTTTTCCATGAGACTATTTTTGTAAAGTGGTACACAACCCCACTTAGTGATGATAACCAAGAATTATTGTTACTCGGGAAGCGAAGGGTTATTGCTTGGAAAAAACTGGACAGTTTTCACGTCCAATGATGAGAACAGTGCTAAGAATCCTAAAGATATAACGAATCATTATAAAATATGTTGTATGGGTTCTTTTGCTAATATTTAAAATAGTAATACATAAACAGAAAGCATACATATTTTGGCGATGAATAAAAAAAAAACAACAAACTTCCAGTATGAGGTTTTTTGTAGGTGTCACGTTTATGATTTTTATGTCTAAGGGTTATGTATCTTAAAACTTATTCTGTATATTATTGTAATATCTAAAAAAACTACCAGATGATCTATGTTATATGAACCCTATGTCACTTTTATACACAATAAAACTCACAAATAATAGTTTGGTTACATCATAAAAAAGTTCAATGAATTTGATCTATTGTTTTTTATTATTCTTGTCTTGTTAAATATAAAATATACCATCACAAACAAAGACAAGTGTTTTTAATTCACTGAAAATATTAGACTTCTGTGTAATTCGATGGTCAAAATGTGTTTTGAAGAATTTACATCAGAAGAAGAGGTTGGCCAGCAATTTTAAAGATAAGTATAAATTGTACCATAGAAATAACAGCTACATTTATTGTTATTCCGTTACTGAGACATCTTAAAGTCAAACTTCAGCCTAAAAATCAGGAAATTGAACACATCTTCTCCCAATAACTCTCACTAAACTCTAAGACCTGTGACACATAGGTTTGACTGTACTGAAGCAACAGAAAAAATGCTAAAGAAAAGATTAACTGGTTTTAAGACAGCATTAATAACTTAATTACATTTTGAATGTTTTGGATACCGGTACCGGTATTCACTGGATAATACTCATAATTTAATTTTATAACCGTTGCTATTACCAAATCTATTATCGTAAGACAAACACACATTTAATACAATGTTGCAGTAGCAGTAGTGATGTTTTGAACTTTAGTTATTTTCTACGTTACTTGAGATTATACCTTTAAAATAAGATAAGGCAATGATTTTAATGGGAGACATACTTAATGCCTAAACATGAATTTTTATATTTTTTAGCTATCTTTCATGTTATTCTACCTTTTCACAGTCAATTTAAGTAAAATTCTAGAGACTATTCTGCAGCTCTTTTGGATTTTAAACACAAAAAATTTAAAGTGACCAGTTAGTTTTCTGAGCTAAAATAGTATTCGAATAGGAATGTGAACAAAATTATAAGATTGTTCTTTAACTCCCGATTATTCTAAATATAAAAAAAAATTAAATGAACAAAAGATATGCAGGGTCACCGGTCAGTTTGCTTACTGTGAACTCTCTTAAGTCATAGATATTCATCAGCCAAAATAATTTTTGAACGTGTGGCATAAATCTTCTATACATAAGGACCAAGAAAACAACTAGGAGTGGACCCAACACCGACTAGGATTGGGGAAAGAGCTGTAAGAGTTTGGGAACATCTCTCCATAATTTGTAATTTTTTTGTAGCCAATACAAGGTAATCTGTAACAGATTGTTGATTTGAAATTCAAACTTCATCACAGTTAGATATCAAGCTATGACTTCCTTGGCTTTCTTTTAAACATTTAGTCATAATGAGAGTGATTTGCAACGCCAATTGTTAAACCCTTCTTAGCAGACATTAAAATAAAATAAGTGTGTTGTTGATTAGTGTTACATACACCAATTTGTTTTCACACTAATTCAATAACTGTATAGTCATATTATCATATCTGAAATACTAAAAATTAAAAAAAATACTTGGGTAATATCAATTAACAATCAAGCTGTCCAAGTTGTAGTATAAGACAAAAAAAGTAACACTACATCACTAAAAGAGTTTAAATATTAACCACATTAATATTTAAACACACACATTTATTTGCTTTAGAAGTGAGTTAAAAAGGAAAATCAAATCGTAAAAGTACAAAGCAGCTCTACATTAAATCTCAAGCTCAATTAATATGAAATGGGCAAAAAAGAATTTCTATTTTATGGAAGCGCTTAGGAGGATTTAAATTATTTACCTATAGTGGATCGTGTTTTGTCGAGCTCCGCGAGGATTCGGTTGTCCTGATCGATTTTAGCCATGATTCTGTCGATGTCAGTAGTCGGCGGTGGGGGATACGCCACAGTTGCGCCTCCGCTACCCGAGGACGACCCCCCGCTACTGGAGACAGCCACTGGGGACGCAGAAACACCTCCGCAACCCTCGCCTACCAACATCCTCCAGGGTACCAGGTACTGGGGATCTATGGGGAGGGATGTATCTACCAAAGAGACAACATTCCCCGTCGGGAAGGGAAAAGGGATGCCCCCGAACTGTTGAAATCCTAGATATAGTATTTATGGTGGAGATAGAGAGAGAATATGGAGAGAAAGAAACAAAGAAAACAAACAAATGAGTATTGCGAGCCAACCAATTTAAGAAAGGAAACTAATCTAGTCTATAAAAATAAAACTATTGTCTAGTTTCGTTGCATCATCTCAAAATATAATACATGCCTACAGCATTGAATGTACACATGCTAAGCTGCTTAACGTGCAAATTCAGCAAATTATTTGACTATTTATAAATCAGTGAGACTTTACACTTTATAATTGCTTGACTAGATTATTTTCTTTTTGTACATGTCACAAAGCCCTCTTTAAATTAACAAGAGCCATACACATTGTATAAACAGTAACTTTTATAGCTGACAATCATTGTTAAATCAATGACCATATCAATCAGACACTATGGACTCTTGAACTATATAACTGTATATTTAATTAAAGTGTTAAGTTGATTACATCTAAAATCTTCAGTTTTACTTTTAACTCTTGACACATTGAAGTATAAATTGATTTTTACAAATGTATTCACTTTTAACACCAGTAAAATTAATAATAAATGATTTATGCATGAAACAGTTAGTAAAGATATACATCGGCATAAATTGAAAAAAAAATCATATGAGTGATATATATATATAAATCACTCCTAAAAAGGGAACTTGAAACTGATTTAGACAAAGAATCTTCTGGAAGCTATACAAAATAAATCAACTCTCACTACAGCTGAGAATTAAATTACTGTGATGCTACTAAAATAAAATAAAACTAAAACAAGTAGCAGCAAGTCCATCAGCTTAGCTTATTGCAGTATAGGCTAAGCTGATGGACTTGCTGCTACTATTTGCATTTAAAAAATATAGAATGTTTAAATAAAAAAAACTAAATAACCTTCTACCAATTTTGTATTTACAAAGGATTTTATTGAAGGGACATTTGTTTAAGTACAATAGTTTATTAAAAGTATATCCACTATTACAACAACATTTACTACCGTACTGAACAATTACTTTAAGGACGATTAAAATTATTAGAAGGATCAATCTAATATATTTATATTAGAGAAACTTTTAAAGATACTTTAAAGAAACTTTAAACTATCAAAAAGACTAAAGTTTGTGTGCACCTTTTTGATTGGTTGATTCAAAATTTAAACTATAGACAATAGGCATTGTTAACTGTAAAATGTCAACAGTTCTGTCTGTTATTTTCAGAACAAATAGATTTGAAGTTAAGTAAAAATGTCAAACAACAAACCAACCAAGTTTTCAAATGACAAAGATAATTTGAAAGGTTCCTCATTTTAGGGGGGAAAACTGTACAAAAAACTGCCTATTAGAATTGGGGATATTGACTGTCACAGTAAATTTAAAGTAGAAATTCAATAACTGTTACTGCATAGGATGTAGGCCTATATTGTAAAAATAACTTTTTCGATGATACTTTGACTTACTTCATGATGGGTAGCCTCTGGACCATACAGCAACAATAATAATGGTTTAATTTACCTCTGTCAATATGGTCCTTGCGTAGTTTGTCACTACTGCAGTTTCGTGCTCGTGGAGCACATCCTCAGGTGAAGATCACGAAAGTTAAAACATTCTCTTCATGTGAAGGTCGTCAATTTTTGAAAAAACACCGAAAACATACAACACACGAACGGTACGAAAAAACATTTACAAACTTGGCCAATACATTAAAACATTACACACGAGGTCCGGCGCCGGTAGAAGGCAAGTCATGACTGACGTGTGCTGCAGTCGGTAGCCTCTCCGTCCTCATGTCTCTTATCAGGACCTTTTCTTTGGTCTTGTTCCAGGATGTGAATGGCGGTATTATAAATAATGTTAGACTGGAATGAGAGTTGTTCGTTTAAAATATGGCTGGGATGTACTTTAGCTGCTTCAAAAATTGACGACCTTCACATGAAGAGAATGTTTTAACTTTCGTGATCTTCACCTGAGGATGTGCTCCACGAGCACGAAACTGCAGTAGTGACAAACTACGCAAGGACCATATTGACAGAGGTAAATTAAACCATTATTAACTTTGACTTAGTTTATGTTATGTAGTTAGTTAGTTTTGTAGTTCACTGACAAGTGATTATGTTATTCATAATTTTAGTTTTAGCTTATGAGCTCTTTACTTGTCACCTATTTCACCAACTTGGCAACAAAAAAAAAGGAAATGTTTTGTGACAAATGGAGAGTTTAAGTTTGAGTCCTTATCTGTAAAAAGTATTTACCATCACTTTCATGAGTTTAAAGTAATGTCATACTGTATTTACTTTTAACTGTATGTCTCAAATGTATTATGACAAACTTCGAGTGTACCGTATGTAGCATATTGTTATATGCCGTTTTAATTTTTTTAAATCCAAGCAGGATAACTTGACAGACATAGATGTAGCATTTTGAGTTTCTCGAAACTCTCACAACTAATGGTGGTGAAGGATTAAACTAATTTACCAGTGCCACAATACTTCAATTGCAAAATTGTATGTTGGGGTATTTAATTGATTCCATTCTGACATTATTATTTTTTTAAAGAATCCACTTGCTATGCATTACATTTTTTTAATAAGCTTTTTCCATTGAATACTTTTATTGTTGATAGTAAAAACTGCTGGTATGTAAATTTGTGACTACATATCTAAAAAAACTGATGTTTAGTTCCAATTAAATTGATTTAGATAGTTGTAACTTCTAACCGTATTGTGATTTAAAAAATTGAACTCTGTTTTCATTATTAGGTCTTAATATAAATTTAATTTATAATATATTAGAATAAACTAAACCTTAACCTCTGGATGTTGTAGGGATGATTCTAAGAAATATCAAATATGTTTTCGCCTTTTTCATGGTAGGTAAGCCTCTGGATCGTAAATTGCAATATAAAAATGGTTTATGTTACCTTTTGCGTCGAACGATCCTTGTGTAGTTAGTACAACTACAGCTGTTTCATATCACTAGGGTACATCTTCAGGTTGGTAGAACGTTAGATTAAAAAAAGCATTCATTCGTAGATGAACTTGTCGAGATAAATATGTTACATGATGTTACATGTTACGAGATTATATGATTTTGTGTATATAAACATATTTATCTCGACAAGTTCATCTACGAATGAATGCTTTTTTTTATCTAACGTTCTACCAATCTGAAGATGTACCCTAGTGGTATGAAATAGCTGTAGTTGTACTAACTACACAAGGATCATTCGACGCAAAAGGTAACATAAACCATTTTTATATGTTTTAGCCTGTCAAATCTATTTCAGGACTTTTTGGTATAGTTTCCGTGATCTAACTGTTTATCATTCAAAAACTGACTGAATAAAGTAAGTCGTGACTAGTTATATACTAGAGTTATCGAATATCGATATAACGATAAAAAAGATCAATACCCCTGCTGCAGCAAACTTACAGAATAAGCAAATTTCCATTTTCTGGGTGAATTTGTACTAAAATATTTAATTTAAAATGTCATATTTATTCACTATTTAAATAACATTAGATTTAACGAGTACCTAGGTTTGCTGCTACAAAAAAGAAAAGGTGTTTTTTGTAAAATGTCATTACAGTAATATAGTATAAGATAAATCAATTTGAAACATTTGATCACAATATATCCACAAACAAGCAAACTACGATGGTTTACTTTTCCTGCATGAGAAAAACGTGGGAATTTTAAATGTATAGTGTTATGAATTTCTCCCCGTGTACAGTATTGTTTTAGTCTAAATTTTTGAGTTGCCCCTGAACCTAAAACAGTTGTTTTCCAAGTGATGTCTGTGTACAGAGCTACAGACTACACCTGTAGTCTGATTTTGATGAAATTTGGAATGTGGCTACTAATTCATGGTCTCAAGCCGTTAACCTGAATTTTTTATTTATAATGGTGATTTTCCCATGAAATAACATAAAAATCTGATAAAAAAAGTTAAAACGATATAGATTAAAATTTAATAATATGTTATAGTCGTTTTAACTCTGAACAATGGCCAATGCTGTAAAAAGTACAGAAAGTTATTAAATTTTTTTTTTTTTTCATTTTGCCCATAAAATATCTTAGTTACTCCCAAAGCTTACCCAATATAAAGGTTGTTGACAAGCTAATGTGAGAAAGTATGTGTCAGTTTGCTGATGTCATTGTTTATTTGGAATGTTCTCTTTGACCTTTAATTGTACAACAACGCCTAAAAACCTAGAGAATTATTGGATTTACATTCTGGTTGTTATAAAAATTGGGCAATTACCTGTTTCAAAGGTAAAAAAATTGAACAACCCAATTTTTTTTAAGATTTACATCACCATAACACATTGTTCTCATGACCCGATCTTACTAGTTCAGGTTTAAGTGTAGGCCTATCCAGCCCTACACACAAAAATTGCCGGAGTTATCAAGTTCACAGACATAATTTAGTGAACCTGAACGAAAATTGTTTTCGGCCTCTGAGTGCATCAAAATGAAAAAGTTAATTAGTCCCAGATCTAGGTCTTAATATGCCACCTACGGTAATAGCTTCTTCCATATAGGGGAAATTCGCAAAAACTATGTCATGTATAAAATGTTACACAAAATCAATTTTAACATGCAAAATATTTTCATGTCCAAGATAAATATGTACTAAAGCTATAAGTTTATAATAATAAAGAGATGAAGCATGCAAGTTGAACACTTTTGTTTACATTGTGTTAATTTATAACCGAAAATTTAATAATTCCACAAAAGTAAATTTACTTAATATTTAATACTTAATATAGTAAGTAGGTTAATATTTTCAACATCAATTACTTAGCTCTGAAAAAAACAAACATCTATCTACAGGTTGGAAAAGGAAAATATATTACTATTACCACAGTTGTATTTAAAGCAGTTTTAACCTTTTCAATAGTACAAAAACTTTCCTTTTAAAAAGCCTGATTTAGTTACAAATTAATTTGTTGATATCAATTAAAGATTAACGTTTACAAGATATTTTAAATAATTTATTTAAA